TGGTTCAGGTGTTTGGCTAAGCAAAAGCCGGTTTGGTTGGTCTAGGCGTCGCAATAGCAAAATAAAGCCGAGGTGCTTGGTCTCGGTGTGGCAATAGCTAAGCAAAGCCGGTTTGGTTGGTCTAGGCGTCGCAATAGCAAAGTAAAGCCAGTTTGGTTGGTCTAGGCGTCTCAATAGCAAAAGTAAAGCCGGTTTGGTTGGTCTAGGCGTCTCAATAGCAAAAGTAAAACCGGTTTGGTTAGTCAGGCGTCGCAATAGCAAAGTAAAGGCGTGTTGGTTGGTCTAGGCATCGTAATAGCAAGGTAAAGTCGGGTTGGTTGGTCTAGGCGTCGTAATAGCAAAATAAAGCTGGGTGGAGTTAGGTGCAACAGGTCAAAGCCGGTTTGGTTGGTCTAGGCATCGTAATCAAAAGCTCGGGTTGGTTGGTCTAGGTGTTGTAATCGCAAAGTAAAGCCGGGTTGTTTGGTCTAGGTTTTGCAAAGCTAAGCAAAGCCGGTTTGGTTGGTTCAGGCGTCGCAGTAGCAAAGTAAAGCCGAGGTGGTTGGTCTAGGTGTGGCAATAGCTAAGCAAAAGCCGGTTTGGTTGGTCTAGGCATCGTAATAGCAAGGTAAAGTCGGGTTGGTTGGTCTAGGTGTTGAAATAGCTAAGCAAAGCCGGTTTGGTTGGTCTAGGCGTCGCAATAGCAAAGTAAAGCCGAGTTGGTTGGTTCAGGTGTTGCAACAGAAAAGTAAAAGCTCGGTTGGTTGGTCTAGGTGATGCAATAGCTAAGCAAAGCCGGTTTGGTTGGTCTAGGCGTCGCAATAGCAAAGTCAAGTCGGGTTGGTTGGTCTAGGTGTTGCAATAGCAACGTAAAACCGGTTTGGTTGGTCTAGGTGTTGCAATAGCTAAGCAAAGCCGGTTTGGTTGGTCTAGGTGTTGCAATAGCTAAGCAAAGCCGGCTTGGTTGGTCTAGGCGTCGCAATAGCAAAGTAAAGCCGGGTTGGTTGGTCTAGGTGTTGCAATAGCCAAGTAAAGCCGGGTTGGTTGGTCTCGGTGTTGCAATAGCAAAGTAAAGCCGGGTTGGTTGATCTAGGCGTCGTAATAGCAAAATACATCTGGGTTTCTTGGTCTAGGTTTTGCAATAGCTAAGCAAAGCCGGTTTGGTTGGTCGAGGCGTCGCAATAGCAAAGTAAAGCCGGGTTGGTTGGTATAGGTGTTGCAATAGCTAAGCAAAGCCGGTTTGGTTGGTCTAGGCATCGCAATAGTAAAAGTAAAGCCGGGTTGGTTGGTCTAGGTGTTGCAATAGAAAAGTAAAGTCGGGTTGGTTGGTCTAGGGTTGATCCAATAGCAAAAGTAAAAAGCCGGTTTGGTTGGTCTAGGCATCGCAATAGTAAGGTCAAAATCTGGTTGGTTGGTCTAGGCGTCGTAATAGCAAAATAAAGCCGGTTTGGTTGGTCTAGGTGTTGCAATAGCTAAGCAAAGCCGCTTTGATTTGGTCTAGGTATTGCAATAGCTAAAGTAAGCCGGGTTGGTTGGTCTAGGTGTTGTAATAGCAAAGTAAAGACGAGTTGGTTGGTCTAGGTGTTGCAATAGCTAAGCAAAGCCGGTTTGGTTGGTCTAGGCGTCGCAATAGCAAAGTAAAGCCGGGTTGGTTGGTCTAGGTGTTGCAATAGCAAAGTAAAGCCGGGTTGGTTGGTCTAGGCATCGTAATAGTAAGGTAAAGTCGGGTTGGTTTGTCTGGGCGTCATAATAGCAAAATAAAGTTGGGTGGCTTGGTCTAGGTGATGCAATAGCTAAAGCAAAGCCGGTTTGGTTGGTCTAGGCATCGTAATAGCAAGGTAAGGTCGGGTTGGTTTGTCTCGGTGTTGTAATCGCAAAGTAAAGCCGAGTTGGTTGGTCTAGGTGTTGCAATAGCTAAGCAAAGCCGGTTTTGTTGGTCTAGGCGTCGCAATAGCAAAGTAAAGCCGAGTTGGTTGGTCTAGGTGTTGCAATAGCTAAGCAAAGCCGGTTTGGATGGTCTAGGCGTCGCAATAGCCAAGTGAAGCCGGGTTGGTTGGTCTCGGTATTGCAATAGCAAAGTAAAGCCGGGTTGGTTGGTCTAGGCATCGTAATAGCAAGGTAAAGTCGGGTTGGTTGGTCTAGGTGTCGTAATAGCAAAATAAAGCTGGTTGGCTTGGTCTAGGTCTTGCAATATGTAAGCAAAGCCGGTTTGGTTGGTCTAGGCATCGTAATAGCAAGGTAAGGTCGGGTTGGTTGGTCTAGGTGTTGTAATCGCAAAGTAAAGCCGGGTTGTTTGGTCTAGGTGTTGCAATAGCTAAGCAAAGCCGGTTTGGTTGGTCTAGGCGTCTCAATAGGAAAGTAAAGCCGGTTTGGTTGGTCTAGGCGTCTCAATAGCAAAGTAAAGCCGGGTTCGTTGGTCGAGGCATCGTAATAGCAAGGTAAAGTCGGGTTGGTTGGTCTAGGCGTCGTAATAGCAAAATAAATCTGGGTTGCTTGGTCTAGGTGTTGCAATAGCTAATCAAAGCCGGTTTGGTTGATCTAGGCATCGTAATAGCAAGGTCAAGTCGGGTTGGTTGGTCTAGGCGTCGTAATAGCAAAATAAAGCTGGGTTGCTTGGTCGAGGTGTTGCAATAGCTAAGCAAAGCCGGTTTGGTTGGTCTAGGCGTCGCAATAGCAAGATAAAGTCGGGTTGATTGGTCTAGACGTCGCAATAGCAAATTAAAGCCGGGTTGATTAACTGATATTGTAGGTTTAAACTATCACAATAATCAACATTTTCTATATAACAACAACTATGAGAACAATAATTCGAAATTCGAAATGATGCAAGAATCTTTTTCTTTTTTTTCTAATCGTTTTCACTTTTTCATCTTCCTTCTTCTTCTTCTTCTTTTTCTTCTTATTATGCTTTCTCCTTATCATCTTCTTCGATATCATAGTCTTCTCTTTCTACAAATTAATCTTATTCTTGCACTTTTTCGCAATTTTTGTTTCTTTCCCTTTTTTCTTCCCTTCAGGCATATCCCCTTCTACCTTTTTTCCTATATTTCACCCTCCCCTCCTCCTTCTTCTGCTTCCTTTTCCATCTCACTATTAATATTAGTGTCCTTCGTCGACAACTTTGCCTTCGTCTTCTGTTTGTATTCTTCTTTTTCGTCTTCTTTTTCTACTTCTTCTCTTGCTTATTATTATTATTAGTTTTATTATTATTGTCCTTCTTCGCCGTCTTCTACTTGTCTACCTTCTTCTTCTTCTTCTACATCTCCTTTTCTTTCTTCTTCTTCTTCTTCTTCTTCTTCTTCTTCTTCTTCTTCTTCTTATTATTATTATTATTATTATTATTATTGCTCTTCTTCGCAGATTTTTCTTATTTGCCTTCTTCTCCTCATACATATCCCCTCCGTTTACCCTTCTTCTTCTTCTTCTTCTTCTTCTTCTTCTTCTTCTTCTTCTTCTTCTTCTTCTTCTTCTATGTCAGTATCATTAATAGTTTCATTCTTATTTGCCTTCGTTATGGATTCTTCTTCTAGTTCTTTTGTTGTTGTTGTTCTTCTTCTTCTTCTTTTTCTTCTTCTTCTTCTTCTTTTTCTTCTTCTTCTTCTTCTTCTTTTTCTTCTTCTTTTTCTTCTTGTTCTAGTTCTTCTTGTTGTTGTTGTTGTTGTTGTTGTTGTTCTTCTTCTTCTTCTTCTTCTTCTTCTTCTTCTCCCACTCCTTCGCTCTCTTCTTCTTGGCTGTGTGACTATAATTATTAGTTTCATTTATCGACAATTTATTTGCCTTCGCTATCGATTCTTCTTCTTCTTCTTCTTCTTCTTCTTCTCCCGCTCCTTCTTCGCTCTCTTCTTCTTGGCTATTTTCATCTCTCCCACCCTTTATATCATAACTGTTTCCCTCCATTGTTATTTATGGCTTTTTATTCTGAGTCTTTTTCCTATGATCATGATGATGATTATCCTCATTGCTGCCACCAATTCAGATATTAATTTTAATATAATCATTGGATGACACTCAACTGTTGTATTAATGGCTTCAAAAGAGGTTCGAACCAACGATGGAGGAAAAAAAATAGTCAAACTTTTATCTCCACTTTCAGTTCAGAAAGATAATATTTGTGATTGTATTTCCCGCCTCGCCAACCTAATGCTTCTTATCCCTTGATTCTTACGAAATCTTCTTTGGAGGGGGAAAAAGATGGATACGCCGGAAAGTACATTGCCAAAAAAGCAAAAGAAATCTGAACGAAATAAAAAAATATCTAATAATGAAAAGCTTCGTGATGGTTACAGAAGCATTTTTCTACCTTGATTTAATTTTTTCTATCTTGGTATCTTTTTTTTTTTGCTGTTTCCCTATTGAAAGTTAATCAAATTTTGTTTAGCATCAAAGTGACTAGCTTACAAAAAAATTGGAAAGAAACGCAATAAAGAAAAAAAGTATTTTGATGTCTTAGGGGCAGATCTGTATTCGTAGCTAGACGACAATTGACAGCCAAGTTCAATTGTGTAAAAAAAAAAAATGAATGAAGATATCGAAAAAGAGCCTTGATGGGTGGGGGAATAGGAAAAAGTATGACTTAGGGATATAACTGGTGAATCCTGATTCTAGTTGTTAAAAAATGCACTATATATATATATATATATATATATATATATATATATGAACTGTAGCTTTTGGAGAGAAAAAAACAAAAAATATCTAACGTCGCTTGTAGTAAATGATGACATCTTCGACTAAAAAAAGCACACGAGTTGACAATGAGGTTGCTACTCTTTCATTACAGTAGGGGGCTAACCAGATAGTAAAAACCGCTCCCGGGAGTTAGAGAAAGAGAGAGAGAGACAGAGAGACAGAGAGAGACAGAGAGAGAGAGAGAGAGGTAGAGAGGGGGAATTTTGATACCAAGAATAGAATACTTCGTTGAAACTAATAATGGATGTACAAGCTATAAAAAATGAGAATGAGCGAGTGGGTGGTAATCACAGAGAAGAAGGAAAGTAAAAAAAAAGGAAAGAAAATAGAAGTTAGAAAGAAAGAAAGAAAGAAAGAAAGAAAGAAAGAAAGAAAGAAAGAAAGAACGAAAGAAAGACAGAGCGAAATAAAGAAAAAGAAAGAAAGAATGAAAGAACAGGATAAAGAAAGAAACGTGATAGAAAAGAAAAAAGAAAGAAAGAATGAATAAATGAAAGAACGAACCGAGGGAGTAAATAAATAAATAAATAAATAAATAAGCGGTGAAATAAAATAAGAAAGAAAGAAAGAAAGAAAGAAAGAAAGACGGGTGACAATAAGAAAGAAAGAAAGAAAGAAAGAAAGAAAGAAAGAAAGAAAGAAAGTAGGAAGAAAGGAAAAGAAGAAAACTGGAAGGAGAGAAAAAAGAGAGAAAGGAAAACGTATGAAAGACAAAAATAAATAAAGAAAGAACCGAGGAAGGAAAGAAGGCGAGATAAGAAAGAAAGATACAAAGAATGAAGGCGGAAATGAAGTAAAGGAAGAAAACTGGAAAGAAAAAGAAAGAAAGAAATCGAGAAAGAAAGCAGGACGGAAAGAAAGAAAGAAAGAAAGAAAGAAAGAAAGAAAGAAGGGTCGAAATTGGGAGTGGGGAAGTAAATGGCCCTGAGACTTTTGATTATGAGCAACAAAAGCTTGGAGAAATCAAGCCTCTGAAAGAAAGGAAGGAAATATGGCAAAAATGGCGGACAAGAGACATATGTAATTTGTGTTCGAAACATGCCCGAAGGCGGGAATACGTTTACCACAAGTTGCAACAGACGACAAATATCATTATTGATGATTTGGCTTTTGTTATTGTTGTTTTGTAGTTGCTGCCATTGTTAAAATTTCTATCTTATTGAATAACGTACTTTTGCATTATTCTTAATATTAATGTAGCCGACAATATTGAATCAGTATTATCGTCCTTTAGTGTTATTATAGTCCTTCTTTGCTATCTCGCTAAAAATATCCATTTCCTCTGTTATTATTATTATTATTATTATTATTATTATTATTATCACTACTCTTCCTCTTTTTCTTCTTAGCTACCTTCGTCTACTTCTACATATTATTATTATTATTATTATTATTATTATTATTATTATTATTATTCTTCCTCCTTTTCTTCTTAGCTACTTTCATCTTCTTCTACCTCTCCGTCTCACTATTATTATTATTATCATTATTATTATTATTATTATTATTATATCCTTGTTGTTGTTGTTCTTCTTCTTCTTTTTCTTCTTCTTCTTCTTCTTCTTCTTCTTCTTCTTGTTATTATTATTGTCGTTTTCTTCGACGTCTCCTTGGCTACCTTCGTCTGCTACGTCCTTTTCTTCTTACTATTATTATTATTATTATTATTGTCCTTCTTAGCAACATTCTTCTTCTTCTTCTTCTTCTTCTTCTTCTTCTTCTTCTTCTTCTTCTTCTTCTTCTTCTTCTTGCTCCAGGTCATCTTATTTCTTATCTCACTTTTATCTATATAATACCAAAAGTCTGGTTTTGTATATATGTATCTAATGAACCGAAACACCGCCTAGCAACCAGACGTATTGTAAGAGGTTACCCCAAAATGTGATAACTTTAAAAAGAACTATGGGCAATTTGCAACTGAAGAAACAATTAGAGGATCTATGATCACACTTAAATGAAAAAAAATATGAACAAAAATAAAATAAAACAAACAAAAACAAAAAAAAACCAAAGTGAAACAATTTTTCAAGGGAGATAACTATGACATGCTAATTAAAGATCAGAATATCATTGCTTTATTTTTTTTTCTTTATTTTCTATGTGATGCGTCCCTTCATGGGCGCTCCGCAACATTCTATCTCTTGTGGATTTGTGAAGTTTTTTTTCCCCCTTTGCTAAGGCCCCCGTCCCGGTTCTGCATTTTAAAGAACAGTGAGTGGGAGTGGGATAATAACAAGACAATAATTGGTAAGAGTTATACAGGAGAGGAGAATTTTGGAAAGCTGTGATCGGCAACATCTTGAAACGTCATAAAGAAGAAGGAGAAGAAGAAAAAGAAGACAATATTTAGCTGCAAAAATAGATACCTTGTATTTTTTAAAACAAAATTATCCATAGTTGCGAGGGAGCGAAATAAATGATATTCTAGTCATTTCTAATTTTTTTTTAGAATAGCAGGTAAGTGTACTTAATGTTCCAGCACCTTAATAAGATCGGATTTATTTAGTTATACAGCCAAACAATTCTAAGAGGAGCAGATGACCTATAACGATTTACGAGGATGGAATAAAAAGCATACAGGCCGACTATGAAGGAGTGATGCAAGAAAGGTCCGCGTGTTGGTTGAAATGTCCATAGGCTGACTATGGAGTGAAGCCAAAGCTTTGAACTCTTGAATGCAATATTTTCAATACATCCTAAGAATATCTGCATTGTTCCTTAACAGATATTCGCGTTGGCTGAAATGTCGATAGGCTGACTATGGAATGAAGCCAAAGCTCTGAACTCTTAAATGCATTATTTTCAATAATTCCTAAATATACCTGCATTGTTTATTGACAGGTACGCGGGTTGGCTGAAATGTCCATAGGCTGATTATGGCCACAACTCTGAAGATTTGGATGTATTATTTTCAATATTCCTAGGAATACCTGCATTGTTTCTTAACAGGTATGCGCGTTGGCTGAAGTGTCAAGAGGCTGATTATGGAGTTAAGCCAAAACTCTGAACTCTTGCATACATTATTTTCAATACTTCTTAAGAATATCACCATTAATCCTTAACGGGTATTCGGGTTGACAGAAATGCCCATAGGCTGACTATGGAGTGAAGCCAAAGCTTTAAACTCTTGAATACAATATTTTCAATATATCCTAAGAATATCTCTATTAATCCTTAACAGGTATTCGCGTTGACTGAAATGTCCATAGGCTGACCATGGAGTGAAGCCAAAGCGATGAACTCTTGAATGCATTATTTTCAATACTTCTTAAGAATATCTGCATTGTTTCTTAACAGATATTCGGGTTGGCTGAAACGTCCATAGGCTGACTATGGAATGAAGCCAAGGCTCTGAACACTTGAATGCAATTCTTTCAATACTTCTTATGAATATCTCTATTAATCCTTAACAAGTATTCGCGTTGGCTGAAATGTCCATAGGCTGACTATGGAGTGATGCCAAAGGTCTGAACTCTTGCATGCATTAATTTCACCTCATTGAATTAACAACTACATTTTTTCTTTCCAGTTAAATTACTATCTTGCTATTCAAAGAATCTGTTCATCCTGTTGCTCTACAATTTAACAACAGCAGATATCCTTTCCTTACCACTACTATATTGGTTCTTTCGTATTGAGGAACAGACAATAGACAGTCGGGCGAATAGTGATGGCGATCAACAAATTTAAATCAGCAGTCATGCAAAAAATACATTGAAACAAAGGATTGTCCTGATGAAACAAGTTCCCTTTCCTCAGGAGTTTGATTTTGATAATCTTTCGTAACTAACTCGGCAACTTGACATAGTATTCTCCATTGATGGTATGACTATTTTGTTAATAGTCACTAACCAAAATGCCTTTTGCTTCCCAAAATCTGAAACCAGCACCTTCCCGTCACATGAAACAACGATAGTTTTTTATGAGCAGGTGAGGAAGGGGTGTTTCTACAACATGGATTTTATCCTTGTCTCTGGATCAAAGTGATGAAGCCAGGGTTAGAAAACTTTTTTTAGGGAAACGGTAGGATCTACCTCAAACAATGTCAGATTTCCCCGTAATATCAGTCTGGTTTATTTTTGATCCGGTATCAGAAGACGTGTCACCCACAGAACAGAAATCTTCTTCATGCCAAGTTAATTGCGCATAACATTCTCAAATCTTCCACGGGATATCCTGATAACATTGGCTATTTGATTTATATTCAGTCGCCTTCTATCTATCACTTTCTGGTGAACACGATCAGTGTCCCACTCCAATCTGTGAAGCCAATTCGCTGCTACATCTCAATTTATATATGGTAGTATCTTTATAAAATGCAAATTTTATTGTAACTTAATTATGCATAATAAAGGATCATATGCAATCTATCAGGCCATCCCATAAGTTCTGTTCGAATTTTGAATAAAGAAAACAAGTGACCAAATGTTACATTTAATTACAGATTCAATCAACAATGTATTTTCTCTGATTATCTATGACTTCCTTCCATCTATTAACAAGCTTACTAATTCCATTACTGTAAAATTCTTTTGGCTTTGATTCGAAGAACTTACAAATGTCAGTTTTAACCTCTTCCTCTGTTACAAAAGCTGTTTCTTCCAAATGATTCTGTAAGCTACGAAACAAATGATAGTCTGAAGGAGCAAGATCGGGAGAATAAGGTGGATGAGGAATTTTCTCCCAACCAAGTTCTTCGATCTTTTGTGACGTGATTCTTGCTGTGTGGGGTCGCGCATTGTCCTGATGAAACATCACCTCTTTTCGATTCACTAGAGCAGGTCTTTTTTTCCTCAAAGCTTGGTTTAAACGCTCTAATTGCTGACAGTATATTTGAGCATTAATTGTTGCATTAGGTGGTAAAAATTCAAAGTGGATTATTCCTTGGCGATCCCACCAGATTGAAAGAAGAACCTTTTGCCCATGAAGTTCCCTTCTCGGTGGTGGCTGGGGTCCTTCCCCTTTGCCAAGCCACTGTCTATAACGCTTAACATTTTGATAAAAGATCCATTTTTCTTCGTCAGTCACAGGTCTATCCAAAAAAGGTGAAACAAGTTGGCGAGAATGGAGAGAAGAGCAAATGTCAACTCGGGATTTGAGGTTGTTTTCAGACAATTCATGAGGCACCCATTTTCCAAGTTTAGGAACTTTTCCAAGTTGTTGAAGATGACAATTAACAGTTATATGATTTGAACTGAGAACCACTACCAATTCCTTAACTGATAAAGCAGGATTTTCTTCAAGGTCTGCTTCAAGAAGCTTTTCATCAAACTCAACTGGACGTCCGGTTCGATCTTCATCTTCACGGGTGAAATCTCCACCTCTGAATTTTGCAAACCATCTTCTGCAAGTTCTTTCATTCACACATTCCTCTCCATAAACTGAGTGAATATTTCTAGCTGCTTCGGCTGCTGAGTTTCCTTTCTTGAACTCATAAAGCATTAAGTGCCTCAAATGATTCTTGGGTACTTCCATGTTAGCAGGGTTTTAATCAAACAAAATTACATTTTATTGTTCTCTGAAATAAAATAATGTTCAGCTCCATTAGACATTATAAAATACTCTTTAAATTTCGTTCATTTTAACAAAAAGTTAAAATTCGGACAGAACTGATGAGATGACACCTGATACATAAATAATTCAACTATAAAAATTGAAAATAAATACAATGTATCTAAATACAAATTAGAGACATGTCATAATAGATCATTTCATCTTAAGTTAATCAACAACGTTTTGCGTCAAGTTTTAGCATCAACATCAGATTTTTTTTCTTGTTTAAAAGTTGAATAATTTAAACACGTTCAAAATTATGGATAAAAATTGGTGAATTTTATATAGTTTTTATTTTCTTTTTCAAGACTTATCATGAGCAAAACAAATTCACGGATTTGGACGGAAAAAATGACCCCAGAATGACGTCAAAATCCTGTGAAAATTTTTCATCCTTTAATAGTCAGGTAGTATTTTTTATAAAATGCAAATTTTATTGTAGCTTAATTATGCACACGAAAGGATCATATGCAATATACATAAACAA